GCAGCGACGACGGAGAGCTTCGAACCTCGAGGTTTTGGGCGCCTCGCGCCCTGTCTGGGCTTCTGGGAGGCTCCACGTGGACCGCGGCTGGATCCGCCTCGAAATTCTAAACCAAGCGTACCCCAGAATCGCTCCGGGAGGTGATTTTCTACCCAGGGGCCCAGGTGCCCGCGTTGTGAAAAAATGCGGTCGCGGGTTTGGGGCAATTTTCGCCTCCCCGAGGCCCTCGCTGGGCCCCGGGACTGTCGAAAAACGGTTCGGGATGAGAAGCCGGCCTTGGGAAAAGGTTGTGGCTTCTAGAGGCCCCGATTTGCAAGAATCAAGACATCGCTGGGTCTCCTCCCCCTCCCCCAAATCTCCAACACTATGATTTTTTGGAGTCCGGGCGTTTCCGGGATCTGGACGCGAAACTGCCTCTGGGGGCCGTGGACTCAAGAAATCAAATCGGCGGGTCTGAGGGCCTGCTGCTCCTCCTCCTTCTCCCTGTCCCCTGTCCTTCCCGTGCTGCTGCGGGTACAGGTTTTTCGACCTCGTGCTTCGACCGCGGTGCCCCCATTCGATCGATGGGGAGGGGGCCTCTGATGAGTCCGGCACCGATTCGGGCACAGTGCCCCTGCGCGCCCTGCGTGTAGTTTTGTGGATGAGCTGACAACTTGGACACGTGCGGATCCGCCGCCGCGCCGCTCCCAGTCGTCTCCGCCTCCCCGCCAACCTCCCTCTCCACCCACTCCTCATTGAAGGGGCCCTGGGACACACAAATAAATACACACAAATAAAAATATTCCCTATATTTTCTAATATTTTCTGGGTTTCTGTCTTCCCCCCCACTTCCCATATTTTCCCATATTTTCTGGGGGATCGAGGATTCATTGTGTCTGCGTGTTTCTCTTCCTCCTGAAACTTGGACACGTGCAGATCCGCCGCCGCGCCGCTCCCACTCAGCTCCGCCTCCCCGCCCACCGCCCTCTCCACCCACTCCCCATCCCCCCCTCTCCTCGCCTCTGCCTGGCTCCTCCTCCTCCTCCTCTCCTCGTCCTTCTCCGCCCTTCCCTCCCTCCCGCTCCCGTCCCCTTCCCCGCTCTCTCCCTCCTCCCACTCCTCCTCCCTATCCTCGCCTCCTCCTCCTCCTCCTCCTCCTCCTGCTCCTCCTGCTCCTCCTGCTCCTCCTCCTCTTCCTCCTCCTCCTGCTCCTCCTGCTCCTCCTGCTCCTCCTCCTGCTCCTCCTCCTCCTCCCGCTCCTCCTGCTCCACTGCTTCCTTCCGCAGCGCTCGACGCCACACCGGGTCCATGCGTGCGTCTGTTCGGGCCGCCTGGCGCGGGCTCTCGTGCCTAGCGCGAGCAGGGCCCGCGCGCTGCCCCTCCCTGCGGCCGGGCGCCTGTCGGCTGGAGCCCGACGCCAGAGCAGAGGGGGCACCTGCCCTAGTTGGCTGCGCGCACCGGGGGGCAGGGGGGGGGGCTTCTTAGGAGGCTTTTTCTTGGAAGGCGCCGGCCCCACATCTGCAGACAGGGCCCGCGCCTTCTTAAGAAGCAGGGGCGCTTCTAAGAAGCCTTCCCCCCGCCCCCGTACGCCCTCCGGCGCGTGGCTGACTTCGGGCCCCTGGGGAAAGGGTCGCCCGGCGGCCCCCCCAGGGACGGGGCAGGTGGAGCGCCGCACGGGCGCGACCCCCGGCAGTCCCGCTTGGGGCTGGGCTGCTGCCGATGTGTACCCGACGCGGGGGGGAAGGGCAGCAACCAGCGGGGTATACCACAGGGGACACGCCGTCTTCGAAATGTGGCTCTCGCTTTAGCGCCGCATACTTTCGCCTGAAAGGTTTACAAACAAATCACCGGAGTACAACTCCTTTTCAAAACGTGGCTCTCGCCGCAGCACCGTAAAAATGACGGTGGTTCGCGGTGCTGAAGTGGTATGACCAACATCGTGGCACGATATAAGATTGTAAGGGGGCAACGGTCACGTTGATTCGCGCGCTGAAGTCCCAGGAATGGTGTTCTGGCACGATTGGAGATTGTCAAACTGCTGTCTTCCAGTGGTGCAGTTCCTCCATCGGAACCCATGAAGAAGCTTGGAGGGAGGGATTCTTGCAACATCGTTGGTGCGTCTTGAAATTGCTCTGGTCCTCCTCCTCGTCCTCCTTATTCCTCGTCCTGCCCCTCCTCCCCCTCCTATTCCTCCTCCTCCTCCTCCTCCTCCTCCTCCTCCTCCTCCATCCCTCTTTCTTCTCAAACGAATGATAGCCAGCGTAGGCTCCAAACAATGTATCATTGCACTGTGGAGGTGAAGTCTATGCGGCGTAAGTTATGTGGTGAACTGTTTCGTGTAAGCTAGGTAATGCGATCCGTGAAGGTGAACACTATGCGGTGCAAGCTGACTGTGTGGTGCAAGCTGTGCCGTGGAAGCTACGCAGTGTGACCTCGAGGTGGACGCCGCGGGCTGCCACTTGTGCGCCGCAGGCTATGTCGTGCATGCTATGCGGTGTAAGCTATGTGGCTCAAGCCATGTGCCTAGGCTGTGACGTGAAAGGTCTGTCGTGGAAGTTTACAGGGCAGCGTTTAATACATGGGATTTTCAAAATATAGGATTTTTAATACATGGCCAATGTATGAATAAACTTATGCATGAACTCGTCGTTGCTTTTAGTACTGAATCCCTGCATGTTTAATGCATGATCCGCACGCGGAGCATGTATCAAAAACGGCACCGTACGTGGTGGCAATGGGGTGGCAAAGGGTGGCAAAGGGTGGCAGCATGGCGCGACCTCGGCATGTCCCCAAAGCACGAGCGAGGGGCGCCCGCCAAGCGGCACGGGCGGCACCGCGGCACAACCTCGACACACCCGCCCAAGCGCGGGGCGCCCACGACGCGCCCACGAGGCGGCGCGGGCGCCACGCGCCGCTACCTCCCGAGCGCGGGGCGCCCACGACGCGCCCACGAGGCGGCGCTGGCCCACAGCGTGGCGAAAGCCCGGCATATCCATGCAGCTGCTCGAGACAACCAGGCAAGAACCCCGGAGTGCAAGCACTGTTTGGGGAGTGCGAGGCTTTCCTCTTCTTCCCTCCCCCTCCCCAGTCTCCTCCATCCATCCTTCCTATACAATAACCGGACCTTCCTTGTGGCGCCGCCAGACGTGTCCGTAGGCCTGGCTGGGCGTTTGTCGGCTGCACTGGTGGAGGGCAGGTCGTTTTCAATATGTGTCTCTCGCCTGAGCGCTGCGCACACTCTTTTTAAGAGTTTCCATCCAAAACACGGATGGAGAGCCAATCGTTTTCAAACTGGGGCTCCCGCCTTAGCGCCGCGAACATCCGTCGCAACCAGTTCGAACAGTTGCACGATTGAAGGCCGACATGCTTTCAAGATGGGGCTCTCGCCAGAAACTTCCTCAACAGATGGTCAAAAGCGCTTCAGAGTGCAACAGCTACGTGCACGGAGGGAGGGCGGTTCCTTTCCCAAATGGGGTTGTCGCCTGGTACTTCGTTTCGCTATACGACCATAAGTTAAAAGTTGTGCAACAGCTCAACGCACGGACGCAATGTGTTTCGATCTTAAACATGGGCTGTTGCTGGGCACCCCCTTGAACTTCCAAAACCTGGCCCTGTCGAATTCCTTGTGTCTGAAAGCATGGAAGGCGCGTCCTTTCAAAATGAAGCTGTCGCTTACATGCGGTGTTCGTCTTTCAAGGGAGGCCATTCGCGCAGCGAAAAAAAGCACCCTGTCTGGACGACGAACGGCAAGGAGACTTGAGGCAGGAGGGTGCGCTGTGGCACCGTTGACGCATCTTGGGGCTTGCCATGGTCCCCCCCCCTTCTCCTCCCTCCCCCCCTCCTCACTCCTCCCTCCTCCTCTTCCTCCTCCTCCTCCTCCTCCTCCTCCTCCTCTTCCTCCTCGTACTCCCCCTCCTCCTCCTCCTCCTCCTCCTCCTCCTCCTCTTCCCCTTCCTCCTCTTCCTCCTCCTCCTCCTCCTCCTCATCCCCCTCCTCCTCCTCCTCCTCCCTTTCGCCCTCCTCCTCCTCCTCCTTTTTCTCCCTCCTCCCTTGCCTCCTTCTCCTCCTGGGCGCCCAAGCGCGGGGCAGAAACTGCCATCCATGTCGCCGGGCAGCGCAGGTGCACGCCCCCCGCCAGGGCACGGCGATGGCGTTCCCCCCCAAGCAGGGTCCGTCGACGACTACAACGACGAGGAGGAGAGAGGGCAGAGGAGGACAGGACGGGGAGAGGAGGAAGGAGGGAGGATACGATACAGTCAGACTTCATTGGACAGGACACGCGAGAGGACAAAACACCCTTCCGAGGGCCACATTGCCATAGGAATGCAGGATGCACGGGTCGCGAGACACAAGATACAAAAGTAACCTTGACTTTGCAGGGTCGACCTACTAATCCGGGCCGACTGTAACGAGGAGGACCAGGAAGAAGCGGAACAGGAGGGACAAGGAGGGGGGGAGCAGGAATGGGGGGGAGACTCGGAGGGGGGAGATGATGGTAATGATGATGCTGATGCTGATGATGATGATGCTGATGCTGCTGCTGATGAAGATTATGCTGATGATGCTGCTGATAATGATGATGCTGATGATGGTGATGCTGATGATGCTGATGATGATTTTTCCTCTGGACAGGATTCGAACCAATGGAGATCAAGCATCCAGCTTGCAGGAGGCCGCCAACTATGTTCCGACGCCGGCACCGGCAAGGGCCCTCCAGCCCATCACTGGCACACAAAGCCTCCTTAGCCAAAGTATCGGCAAGGCGGAGGGAGAGGAACGAAAGGGGAGAGAGAGCCGGGAGCCGGAGGAGACAGGGGAGGAAAGAGCAAAGCCACGTCTCAAGTCGAGGATCGGCCGGTACATCCAAAACGTCACATTGCCAGCTGGGGCGGCACCTGTGGATTACCCTACAGGGTCAGCGCCAAAGCAACTACAAGAGAGGCACACAAATCGAATGAGCAGCTAGACGAAACAAAAACACAACATCTGGCGGCACCGTTGCCGGGTGGACGCCGGCGTGTCGCACCAAGCGCGGAAGGGGGGCAAGAGAAGGAAAGAGACGAGAAAGACAACAACAAAGAGGGAGAACAAGTGTTGGGCGCACACGCACACTCGCCAACTTCACTAGTAGAGCAACCCATCGTAAATAGCAGGTACACCGCACGCGAAGCGGAAGAGAAGGCGGCAAGGGAGGCAAGCCCAGGAACTGCGCCTGGGGTCACCCGCCGGCGACCTCCACGTGGCCACACGCACGGCGCGTGCAGATGATGATGCTGATGATGATGATGAGGATGAGGATGATGATGATGATGATGATGATGCTGCTGCTAATGCTGATGCTGATGCTGATGATGATGATGATGATGATGCTGCTGCTGCTGATGATGATGATGATGTTGACGGTGCGCATGGTGGTGGTGGTGATGATGATGATGATGATGACTGGTGTTGAACGAGCACTACGGCTTTCACGACTGGGATGTCCCGCTGCACGGCGTTGAGCAGTATGTCAGCAAGCCTAGTTGGTGAGCTGCGCGCCCTCGGGTCGGTCACGCGGCCAGAACAAGCGCACAGGGTAGTTCTAGCGTTCTTGCAGTTCCTTCCTCATCTTTCTCTCTTGTTCGTTGTTTTCCTCCTCCCAATTGGTGTGGCTGGGGCCCATCGTCTGCACGCGCCTAGATGATGCTGATGCTGATGCTGATGATGATGATGATGCTGATGATGATGATGATGATGATGCTGCTGCTGCTGCTGATGATGATGATGATGATGATGATGTTGATGGTGCTCATGGTGGTGATGATGATGTTGATGCTGACTGATGTTGATGTCGGCGACGCGGAGGAGAAAGGGGAGGAGGATGAGACGGAGGTGTAGTAGGAGTAGGAGGATGATGGTAATGATAATGATAATAATGATGATGATGAGCAGGAGGAGGAGGAGAAGTGCGTAGGAGTCGGGGTAACAGGAGGTGAAGCCAGTGCACGAGGAGGAGAAGGATCTATCCCTTCACTGGCAATGAACTGTCTCTTCCACTCTCTCCGCCGTCTCGTGACCTCTCGCTGTCGCCGCCGCCGTCGGCGCCGTCGCTGGCCTGGCCCAGCGGGGTATCGTCCGAGTCGCCGGCATCGTCGGCGTCGGCGTCGGCGTCGGCGTCGTCGTCGTCGTCGTCGTCGTCGCCCGGCGCGTAACCGTCGGCGTCGTCGGCGTCGTCGGCGGCGCCGTCGGCGCCGTCGTTGCCGCCGTCGCTGGCCCTGCAGGGACGAGCTCCACTCGCGGGCGGCCCGCGCGCGTAGTGCGCGCGGCGCGGGGGTCCCCCCCGACGCCGCTCGCGCTCTCGGGCCCCGCGCTGCCGCGCGGCGAGGGCGGGCGAGGCCAGAAGGGCGACGAGGGCGTGGGCGACGACAGCGAGGAGAAGGGCGAGGAGGGCGACGACGGCGAGGACACTGGTGAGGGCGACGAGGGCGAGAAGGGCGACGACAACGACGAGGAAGAGGAGGGCAACGGCAACGAGGACAATGACGAGGAGAAGGAGGAGGAGGAGGAGGAGGAGGAGTAGGAGGAGGAGGAGGAGAAGGACAACGACGAGGAGGCCGAGGACGACTCGCGCCGCCCCGCGCGCGCCGCAGCCCTCCGGTGTAGTTGATGTTGAACGGCTTCCGGAGCAGGGACATCGTGTACTTCCCGAAGCGGATGAAGAAGGCGTTGCGGAAGGTCGAGAGGAAGTCGTACTGGACCTGCGGTCGCGCCGCGGTGCCCCGCGGGAGGTCGAGGGGGGACTCGGGGGAGGGTCATTACCGGCCTGGAACATATCCCTATCCCTATGCTGGGCACCTCCTCATCACGATGCCAGTCTCAGGGATTCCCTTACTTTCTGAGGGCGGATCCCTGAGATTGCCATCGCCTTCTGGCGTGTCATCTCTTAGGGATGGGGATACGCTGAAGGCTGGTACGGTCAGGACAACGAGGAGGGCCATCGAGTCTGAGCGAACATGTTCGGGTCCTGACTGGCTGCCGGCTGCTTCCTGCACGCGACGCGTGCTGCGCCGCAGCGCCTCTCGGGTCAACACGTCGAGGGTGATGGGGGGAGCGGATGCCGCAGGGCTCTGCTTGATTCGCTTCCTGCGCAAAAACAAAGCCCTGGTCCACGAGCACAACCGATCACCACAGCCGGGCTGCGCCAACATGTGCTGATGAAGAGCCTTTGCCTTTAAAGCAGTGCCGCACGATGAAGAGGGAGAAAGAACGAAGAGCGCGGAGGAGCAGAAGAGCGAAGAACGAAGAACGAAGACGAAACAAACGAACAACGCACGTGGAAGGAGAATAACGAAGAACGACGAAAGGGGGAGAAACGCAACGCCACCAAACCGTGGCCGCCCCAAGCGTCAGCCGCATTAGAACTTGACCCCTGCCGGAAGCAAGTCAAGCCACTGCCAGGAAAAAGGAGGCGCCGCAGGAGGAAAGAGACACTGAGAGGCGCGCACGACCCCAGTCAGTGCAGCGCGTGAAACACGCAGTCCCTAAACGTGTGAGGGAGCAAGCCGAGGAGAACGGAGGCGAGAGAGAGAGAGAGAGGGGGAAGGGAAAAGAAGTATTGTCTAAAAGATGTTGACGCGTGGCCGCAGCACGCCTCGCAAGAGCCCACCTAGGCGGCGGGCGGGCAAGCCCAGTGCCGAGTCTGGGGTTGGCCGCCGGCGGCGGAAATGGAGCCCAGTGAATGCAAACGAAAGCCCGAAGACCTTCAATCCGCTAGAAGATCCGGCATGTACAGAGAGAAGCAGGGCAAGGAAAAGGGGGAGAAGGAGGCAGCGAAGAGAAGGAGCAGAGGCAGGGACGCTCAGAACGCCATCAGTACACCTCCCGGATGGCATGGGCTCGACCTGCATCTCCCTGAAAGTAGATGTCAACCGTGGTGAGATCCACTGGCGGCATTCGATCGCAGTGCCCAATGATAGCATCGATGAAGGTACGCGTATGTAGCATGGTCCAATCCACAGCCGCCCCCCATAAACGCAATCAAATACCGACGACCTGTCACTGTCAGATGGTTCTCCCGTGGAATGGCCCTGGTCTGGCCCGCGTGGGAGCCAAGGATCAAATCAAGAGGAACGCGGTTCCCAGTGGTCGTAATCAGAGCTCGGTACCGAAAGGCGGCGTGGCAAAGTGCCCAAATATTTTGCCATACCTTCCCCAGCATCGCCGTGTCGATGCGGGCTTCTGTGAGCTAGTCGATGCGGGAACCACCAATCTGGTCGATGCGGGCGTTCGCGACATGGTCGGCCGCGGGTCGGCGGGCCATTCCGCGCGAGCGTCGGCGAGCTGGTCGGCTCGGGAGTCGGCGAGCTTGTCGGTGCGGGTGTCGGTGGTCGGGTCGGCGCGGGAGTCGGAGAGTTGGTCGGCGCTGGAGTCGGTAGGAAGGTCGGCGCTGGAGTCGGCGAGGTGGATGGGCTGGGAAGCGGCTGGCAGGAATGGAACAGAGGTGAAGCCGACGGGAGCCCCAGCAGTTGACGTGGCTGCTCCCCAGATCGTCGGTCAGATTGGTGCTGCTGGTGCCAATGTCGCTGCTCCACGTGACGCTTACGATGCTGCTCACGACTGCAGTATCATATAGTGTGTTGTCGTCGTCCAGGCTCCGCAGCAAATCCATTGGTAGTCTAGGAAGGGGCAGGACCCCGGGGCAGGACGCCGCAACCGACCCCGTGACCCCTTTGTTTACGAACGCCAGTGCGCCCATGCGAGAGATCTCCTTAACTTGGATCAAGCCACCGACGAAGAAGGCCCAAGGAAGTCCAACCCGTACTGCAGAGGGGAAGATCAGGACGAGGAGGGGGTTCCGTGTAGGTTCACGGAAGTCTCCAGACGCCCCAGGAGGCCTCGGGAAGCGCCCGCCAGAGGATCCCCAGAAGGCTCCTTGAGGGCTTCCTGGGAGCCCCAAGAGTGGCCCTCGGGCCATGGCTCGGATCTCTGGCGGCCTTTCGGGAGAGCTCGGGCTCCCCCAGAACGCTCTCGGCCAGGCGCAGCTGCTGGAGCGCCTCCCTGGGCAAGAAAAGCCCTAGAGCCACAGAAGCGCCCGAACAAGCCCACACACTCGGGCGCCCGCAGATCCTCAGAGCGGGGATGGGTACCCCCCAAAGCATGATGCCAATTCCACCCGGCTCGGCGATGGAGCGCAAAGAACTCTGCATGGAAGCGGGGCCCACCGCTAACCTACGCGCCTCAACTTCCTCGGCGCAGTAAATCTGGACATGCGAGGTTTTGCTTCTTTCACAATCCAGGGCCCCCGGAAATCCCGACCCTTTCCCCAGGGCCGTCGTTTCATCCCGAGTCGTTGTTTGACGGCCCCAGGGCCCAGCGAGGGCCCTCTGAAGCCGAAACCTTAAACAAAACATGCCCGTCGTGATTTTTCTCACGTCGCGGGCATGTCTGGGGCCTTCCTCGGTGCAATCTACAAAACAAGAAAGAACGGCATGACCATAAGCTTTCGGAGCTCCGCGCGGAACTCCGCCAGTGTATGCTTATGCGTTCGGCACGTCATTTCACATGTTCTGGCCACGATGGGGCCGGAACTCCGAGAACTTCTGTTTATGCAGTTTTCTTCTTCGAGCAACAACGCATCCTACCGCGGGTCCACGCTAGCAGCGCACCCCAATGGGAGGCGTGCGTCCGACCCGAACATATAATACATCGCTCTTGTAGTACACCTTTTCCCGAACGGTACGGCCAGACCCGCCATGAAGCATGTACTGCAAGATTTCTCGGAGCACGCGCCGCCCCTGGGAAGGCAACGCACACAGAATATAGTATGTTCGGGAAACAACGACGACATCACATCCTCCCCCAATCGGGCGCGGCCTGACCGACCCCTAGCAAACCATACCTTTCGAGCTTCGCTCTGGCCTCAAACATACGTGTTGGGGCGAGGTGAGGATCACGTCACGGAAGGGGATGGTTTGCTTAGAGGTGGGGTCGGAGGATTGCCCCGCATCGACAATGCATCGCCGATGCATCGTCGAGGCGTCGCCGACGTCGGCGTGGAGAAAATCAGGCTCCACCTCGAGAGGCATCGTCGATGCATCGGCGATGCGGCGCGATCCTCCGATCCCATCTACCCCGACCCCAACTAGGAAGCCTAGATTGCTGGGGGTCGGTTAGGCCGCCCCTGACCCAGGCCCCCGCTCGACGCCCGTCTCCCAAGGAAGGTGCGGTGGGCCTTCGGCGTGGCCAGCCCCGCCCAGATCACCGCTCGAAGTCCAAGGACGAGGAGGAGGACGAGGAGGAGGAGGAGGACGAGGAGTACGAGGAGGAGGAGGAGGAGAAGGTGGAGGAGGAGGAGGAGGAGGAGGAGGAGGAGGAGGAGAAGGAGGAGGAGGAGGAGGAGCAGGAGGAGGAGGAGGAGGAGGAGGAGAGGAGGAGGAGGAGGGAGGAGGAGAAGGAGGCGGAGAAGGAGGAGGAGGAGGAGGAGGAGGAGGAGGAGCAGGAGTAGGAGGAGGAGGAGGAGGAGGAGGAGGAGGAGGAGGAGGAGGAGGAGGAGGAGGAGGAGGGGGAGGGTGGGGCTAGGCCGCCCCCCCCCGGGAGGTGCGGCGCGCCTTCGGCGTGGCCAGCCCCGGGCGCAGGGGCACCACCACCTGGGCGAACTCGATGTCGCCCCTGGCCGGGGCCGGGCGGGGCGGGCCCTCTCGGCGCGCCCCTCTCTCAGCGCGCGCCTCTCGGCGGGCCCTCTCGGGCGGGCCCTCTTGGGCGGGCCTCGGCGCGCGGCGCGAGCCAGTGGCGGCACCGGAGGCGCCGCCAGGGGGTGCCAGCACGGATCCAGGAAATCCGCGCGGACCGTCCAAAGAGTATGTTTCTGCCGTTCTTGGTTCTTGGACTTTCCCCCCCCCTGCCTGGAGCTCTCTGGCACGCTCTGCTAAGCCCAGAGAGGGTGGTGCAGCAACCGTGCCACCATGGGGGACGCCAGAGGGGGAACGAGAGGGCCTTTCTGGCCACGGCGAGCCTTGGCCGCGACTTGGCTCCCCGACCTAGACCCGAGCAACGGCCCGAAAGCCAGAGCCCTCCTGAACCCAAAGAGGTCATTCTTTCGTCGCCTCGGCTGCAGCGGGAGGATGGGAAGGAGGAGGAGGAGGAGGAGGAGGAGGAGGAGGAGGAGGAGGAGGAGGAGGAGGAGGAGGAGGAGGTGGAAGAGGATCTGGACTGCGCATCGCCAGGGAACCGAGTCCTCATGCCCGTTCGGAATGCTGCGGAATGGCCCTCGCAGCCCTGGCTGTGTAGCTCAACCCCCCTCCGCACCGGCCTGCCCGCGCATCCGGATGACATGCCCCATGCGTGAGCTAACAGGCCGATAGAGCCCCAGGTGAGTGCTCACAGGTGGCAGGGCCCGGGCGGGAGCGGGGGCGAAGGTGGCGGGGGGATGCGGCGGAGGTGGAGGGCGCGCTCTATCCAAGCGCGGCCCACACTGAGCAGGGTGGCAGCACTGCCAGGCTCTGACGAGTGGAGGAGGTGGTGGAGGAGATGGTGGAGGGGACGGAGGAGGAGAAGGAGGAGGGGGTGGTGGAGGCCGATGAGGGGAGGAAGTGGCGGAGGAGGAGAAGAGGAGAGGAGGAAGGGATGTTGACGGGGACCAGGGCGAGGAGGAGTAGGAGGAGGAGGCGGAGGAGGAGGGGGAGAAGGACATTATGATGATACTGATGATGATGATGATGATGATGATGATGATGATGATGATGATGATGATAATGATGATGATGATGATGAGGATGATGATGATAATGATGATGGTGATAGTGATGCTGATGATAATGATGATTATGATGATGATCGAAATGACGACGACGACGGTGGTAATGACGATGACGACGATGATCATGGTGACGACGATGACGACGACGATGAGGATGGTGATCATGGTGATGACGATGCAGAATCTGAGGATGAGCACGATGACGACGATGGTGATGGTGATGGTGATGGTGATGGTGACGGTGATGGAGATGGTTATGACAATGCTGATGCTGCTGATGATGCCGGTGATGAGGAGGATGACGATGACGATGATGATGATGCTGCTGATGATGATGAAACAAGGACGATGATGATGAATATGATGGTGGTTATGATGATGACGATGTTGCTGCTGCTGATGTTGATGTTGATGTTAATGATGATGATGCTGATGATGATGATGATGATGATGATGATGATGGCGACGACGCCGAGGATGAACATGATGCTGGCGATGCTGATGCCGATCCGGCTGCTGCTGATGGCGGCGACGACGATGGTGCTTCTGATGCTGCAGCTGATGCTTATGGTGATACATCGGAGATGTAGGAGGAGAAAAGGTGGGGCGAGGAGGCAAAAGAGGATGAGGGTGGGGAGGGTGAGAACCTAATCAAATGTAGTATCGCTACACAGCTCCAGTGACAAGGATGCAAGGATGCACCTGTGTATACACAAGTGTGCATCTGTATAGCTACGTTGGGCTCCGCGCGCTGTGCATGCAGCTTGGCCTCGCTAGGGACGCAGGTGGCCTGTCGGGTGCCACCCGCGCTGCCACACACCAATCGGCCCCCCCCGACTCGGCGCGCGCGGCCTGGGGGGTGCCCGGCCTCGGGAGCCGAGATCGACTCTCCGCCGCACCCTCTCGGACCAACCTGCTGGGACGAGCCTCAGTCCTCTCGGCCGATGCCTCCACGGGGGTGGGAGGAAGAGGAGGGGCAGGTGGGGAAGAGATCCGCGGTGCGACTTCGCTCCTCACTGCCCTCCCTTCCCGCCGTCCCCCACAACCACCACGGCGCTCACGACCATGCCCTCTTCCCCTTCCCCTTGCTATGTGCAGACGCAGCCCGGGGACGGACCATCAGAGGCACCACAGGGAGGCCAGAATGGGCATATCTACGTCGTAAAGGCTGGGGGGTCGGAAGCCTGCTGCCGGATATTGTGCGGGAAATTGCCTCCACGAGTTAGATCCTGGAGCCTGGCAGAGCTGGCGAGCCAGGAGGGTGCCTGGGACTGCTGTGCACGGCGGGTGGCGACGACCCCCAGCCTCATGTCAGCACGACCGTCAGAGCCAGTCCCAAGCACATGCAGATCATCAGACGGAGCCGTCGCCAGGGGGAGGAGGAGGAGGAGGAGGAGGAGGAGGAGGAGGAGGAGGAGGAGGAGGAGGAGGAGGAGGAGGAAGAGGAGTGCGAGAAAGAGAAAAGGAAAAAGGAGGGAGGGAGAGAAACAGACCGTGGCATCTGGGATATTCCGTGGCCGCGGCCAGGATGCCCACACAACCCTGGTCCGCACCCACCCTCTTGGCCGCCCCCAGGAGCACGAGCAGGCCGGGCAGACGGCGAAGAGCCAGACCCAAAGCACGCAGGCGAGCCTCGCGGGCAGTGCCAAAGGCTCTTCGGACCGCTGTGACCGCTGCGCGACGACGGGCGCCACGAAGCCGAGACGCACGAGCTACAGCACCGCCATCGAGCTATGAGGACTGAGGGGGTTGAGGAGGAGGAGGAGGAAGAGGAGGAGGAGGGGGAGGAATAGGAGGAGGAGGAGGAGGACGCGGAGGAGGAGGAGGAGGAGGAGGAGGAGGAGGAGTGCAAGGAACGCTGAAGATGCAGCGAAGGTGCTCTCCCTCCACGAAGAGGCTCCCCGGCCTAGACGCAAGGCACGGCCAGGCCACCACGGCCACTCCTGAGCCCAAGGCGGTCCTTACTTCAGCGTCTTGACTTTGGAACGTGGGAGAGGTTGGAGGAGGACGACGACGAAGAGGAGGAGAAGGAGGACGGACACGGAGGAGGAGGAGATGGAGGAGGAGGTGGAGGAGGAGGTGGAGGAGGTGGAGGAGGAGGACGACGACGAAGAGGAGGAGAAGGAGAACGGACACGGAGGGCGGCGCGCAGCAGCACACGCATCAGATGCAGCAGGCGTAGCAGCGGACGTCGCAGCGGACGCTGCATTAATAGCAGTGGGCGCAGCTGCATCATCATCAGCAGCAGCACCAGCAGGCGCAACAATACCCGCGATATGTTGTTTATGATAGTAATGATCATGATGGCGGTGATGGTGACGATACGGTGGCGATGATGCTGTCGCTGCTGATGACGATGCTACTGATGTTGGGTATGATGATGATGGTGATGATGATGATGTTGCTGCTGCGTCTGAGGAAATTGATTGTAGTGGTGATGACAATGATGATGATCTAGACGATGATGCCACTGGCGATGCCGACGATGATGATGATGATACTGATGATGATGATGATGATGATGATGATGATGATGATGATGATGATGCAGATGCTGATGATGCTGATGCTGATGATGAGGATGATGATGATGCTGATGGTAACGAAGACGGTGCTAATGATAATGATGCTGATGATGATGCTGATGACGATGATGATGATGGTTATGATGATGAGGAGGAGGAGGAGGACGATGCTGCGGATGATGATGCTAGTGGTGGTGGCGGTGAAGATGGTAATTATGATGATGGTGCTGCTGATGATGATGACCCTGATGCTGCTACTGCTGCTGCTGCTGATGATGATGATGGTGCTGCTGATGATGCTAAGGGCGACGACGATGACGACGACGATGATGATGATGCTGATGATGATGATGACGATGCTGATGATGATGATGATGATGATGATGATGATGATGATGATGATGATTATGATTATGAGGATGTTGATGATGCTGATGGTGGCGATTATGACGATGATGCTGCTGATGCTGATGCTGCTGATATGGAGGAGGATGGGGAGGAGGATTAGGGGGAGTATGATGATGATGATACCCGACCCCATGAAGAAGCTCCTCGGTGACGGGCGGCTACACGCAGAGGCTGCGCAGCACGGGCGACCTCCTGCTTAAGGCCCTGATCCTCCCTTCAAGGTGCTGCACAGCATGAACAGAGTCAAATCTTTCCTCCATTCTCTGAGCGTTGAATGTGCTGAACCCCAAATCAAGCGAAACTGCTAGTGTATGCAGCTGTTCACCTGTGCTCCACGTATGGGAACGCATGAAAACACGATCAAGGAAGCTGAGCTGTGACCAGAGAGGGGGCAGAGCAGGAAGCAAGCGAGAGACAGAGGCAACATAGATGGGACAAACAAGATAGTGTTCGAGCGAGTCACCTCCCACGGCACAACACCCGAAACGGCACGAAAGGGTCCCCTGATGGAACCTACGGGTGGTGCACCAGGAGTTGCAAACGGATTTGACAACACTAATTCCTATAAACACGGGCAATGCTTTATTTATTACACGCAACTGCGACACAAAATCGTTGGCTTCACTCACAGTGGCATCACTACTCCAGTACTTCATTCTGGAAAGAAATCTTCTGGCCATAGGAATATTGAACATATGGGGTCTCAGGGCCTTCTCGGTTTTCTTCTGGAGCTCAGCACAGGGGGCTTGCGGAACCTGAGGAATACGCCAAATACGATCATATAAAGAGATCATCTGGTACAGGATGCTATTGGAGCGCCATTCTGGAAGACTTGGGGTAAGAGTCCTCTCGTCACTTGCCTCTGCGCTCTCAAGAGTTAGTCGCCCTCTGTGGAAGGCTGAAGAGTAAAAAGCAGCACGATATCTGGCGGCGTCACACACCAATTGGAAGCAACGGACCTCAGCCCCAAATTGTAGGTCCTTGAAATCGCGCAGCACGTCCGTCGGGATCGAAAAACGCGGGGAGGCAGTGAGCAACTGGACCACATCCCGTTCTTTTTTCAGTGCCGTATTAGATGGAGGGTAGAACTGCATAATATACGATAGTACAGTGAAGCCGTACGTGTTGTAGGCCAGGATGCTCCCCACAAGAGACTTTCCAAGAGCCCTAATCAGAAGTCCCCGAGCACGACACTTAGCGATTGGCTTTTCCCACACGACTTCATGAGCCCCAGGACCCATCCATACACCAAGATACAGAACCTTCGACCGAATCTTGAAACTGCGAATACGAACTCCGTACCTACGAAATTCTCCAGCGATGTCCGATTGCGGAAATAAGAAACACAACTCCGACTTCGAGAGGTTCAAGACCAAACCTGCTGCTCCTGCAGCACTCACCCACAATCTAAGAACTGGCGGTAAGCACTCGTACATGTTGGCGCTCGTGAGGCCAACGTCGTCAGCAAATGCTCTTAGCACTCCAGGAACTGGCAAAGCCTCGATCATGCTCCGCAAGATCGGGTCGAAACACAGCGCGAAAATGACTCCGCTAAGCGGACACCCTTGCTTGACCCCTCTTTCCACAGGAAACTGATGATCACGGCAGCCATTAAAAGACACCTTCATCTGGATGTCTGTGTAAAGAGCACGCACTGCACGGACAATAGCTGGGGGCAATTGCATGGCTTCCAAAATGTGAAAAATCCAGGAATGATAAACCGACGGGAAAGCGGCTTTGACATCGAAAAGACAGATACCAGTTTTTCTTTCGCCATATATTGTCCCGTGCTCCAGTAAGTCGGCCTCCAGATCGATAATATTGTCGACAATCTGCCGACCTGGTACAAATCCACGCTGGCAAGCATCGACCGTATGCACAGACACACGAGCCAGAGGGAGCGCCACCGCGCTGGCAATAATCTTATTGCACGAATTGGAGAGCGAGATAGGTCTCGTAGTGGCTGGTTCCCTGAATATCCCCCTTCTCGCGTCCTCCGCCTCCTCCCCTTTGGGTAAGAACACTGCAATGCACTCGTTAAAATCAGCAGGCAGCTCGCCGTGCGAGAACAGGCGCTCGTAGACTTCGTATAAGAGTTCTTTTCCCACTTCCCCCACCTTCCAACAACTGTATGGTAATCCATCCGCACCCGGGGCCGAGTCCTTCAACCTATCAATGCGTTCGAAAAATTCTTCGCGGCACAGTTGCCATTCAACATGATCTGGAGCGATCTGTACAAACTCGTCAAAGGCAGAGTACGCAGCAGCACAGGCCTCTTTACTTCTGTGAACCTCCCCCCAGTGTGCAGCAAGATGGCGGGAACATTCTGCAGGGTCAGTCATCTCCCTCCTCTGGTCGTCATAGATGCCTACAAAAGGAGCTACTCTGCGAACTCTTGCCCAGGCTTGCTGCAATCGGTTGATACGCTTGACGCGGGCGTCTTTTATGGCCTGCGGCAAGCTGCTTCTAAGAATCTCCTCCTCCTCCTCCGCCAGATTCTGAAGGGTTAGCCTCTGAAGATGCTGGTGGAAGCCCTCGAGATCATTCCAAACCCCCTCCTCCTCATTCACGAACTCCTTCAGAGCAGGATAAGCTCGAACAGCTCTCCTGAGAACAGCATGTTTGTTCGCGCGCACTGCATTCAAGACCGCATACATCCAGCTTACTTTATCGTGAATAGTTCTGGCTCCCCTTTCCTCCCTCTTCCGCCTTGCCCTCATCCCCGCTTCGTATAGCACATGTTTATATTGTGATAGCTTCTCCCCAATCGTACCTTCCAAAAAAATCTCAGACAGTACTTCTACCACAGCGTCCTTAAATTCTGCTGTCTTGGCCAGCCACGCTGGAACCTGATCGTAACGAGGAGCACGCCGAACTCCAAGGCTAAGAAAAACAGGCGCATGATCACTGCACCAGTCAGAAACTCCATACCCAATCACCCCCGTCATAGGTTGTAGATCTTTGAGAACCGCAGGAAAGCAATTAACATATATACGATCTAATCTCGCCATGGAAACAACGTTCCCCCCCACCTCCTCCTTGTGTGTATGCAGGTTTTGCTCAACTTCACCAAAGTCGGTAAAAAGGTTATCGAAGTGCTCGGCAAGCGTGTGTGCATTATTGTGGTGAGTGCCGTCCCCATACTGTCGAGACTCGCCTGACGCATAGAAATTAAAGTCGCCTGCCAAGATTCCGAGCCCCTGAGCAGGACAGAGAAAACGATCTCGAATCTGGCGCAGGAGAGCACGTTTGGCAGGCCGAGAGAGGGAAGGAACAAGATGAAGGCAGCATACCTGAAGAACTCCTTCAGGTCCAGAGCAAGAGAGAAGAATGCATCGCCCTGCTAAGATCACAGCACAGTCTATAGAGTGAAACTGCTCGGCAAATTCTGGCGCAAGACAAATCATACATCCACCTGCACGCGCTTCCTCGCAGAAGCTCCCAAAGAACAGGTATCCTGGCATGTCTCGCTTCACATTGCTAAGATCCCCTTCCGAGCCGTGCACCTCCTGGCAGCAGACAATATCGTGCCGTTCGAGAAGGTGTCTAAATCTGGCATACCTGCGCTCTTGTACCCTATGTTCACCATGAACACTCCCAAACAGAGCTTTCGTATTCCAGGTACACACCTTGACCCGTTTCTTCGGTACGTATGCTGTGCGAGAAGGGATGTCTTCTGTGATGATGTCCTCGACGTCCTCATCCTATGGGAAGGAGACACGAGAGATGATGCCCTGGGCGCCTGCTTCGTTCATCTGGATCTGAGAGAGATCCTCCACCATGGGTGTGATGCGGTACCCGCTGCTCTGCTCCTCAACCTTGAACAGCTCCCAGGCCTCGATTCCGTTCGAGAAGTACAGCGAGCCCTTGTACGCGTTGGTGCCCAAACTACATACTCCTTCACGCCACAAATGGTGAGAGAGGAGGTGCTCTTTGATCATACGCCATAGCTGACTCAATACGAAGCCCCTCTTACGGATCTCCAACGGTTTGTGCGCACCAGCACGAATCTGGTGCTGAACGTTGTCCCGAGGGTCGACCCAGTCGCACTCCATCTGCCGAGACGCGATGCCGTCCTTGAACTGCTGTGCGTGAGTCTTGCTCGGGAACACAACCATGTACGAGAAGGACATGTTATGAAATACAGGCTTGACATTGTGTTTGATCGAGTCATGCAGAAGGGGTGACACTTTCGTCTCATAGTGAGCCTTGAACTGCGGAGCCAACAACTTACGCGGAAACCCTCGGAGCCATATCTTATTGTCATCGTCTCCCTGAGAACTGGAGCCACTGCCTGAACTGGACTGGTATGCAGCCCATGGATCAGCGCGCGTGGAAGGGGTGCCCCCGCCGATACTCCCGCCGCTCTCGATCTTCACGATACGGTCCGTCATCGCCTGCTGGTTCTGTTGGAGCGAGTCGAGGGTGATCTGGATGGCAGCGCACCTGGCCTCGGCCTCCGACCGCACGATGTGGAGGTTGTGCGACATCTCATTCCGCAGCGTGCCCATCGACTCGTGTATAGATTTGGTCATGCTCCCGCTGAACTCCAACATCAGCTCACGGAACATTGGTTTGAACTCCTCCGCCGAACAAGCTGGAGACTGCTGGCTCATTGGTGGGGAGTATGATGATGATGATGATGATGATGATGAGGAGGAGGAGGAGGAGGAGGATGAGGGAGGAGGAGGAGGAGGAGGAGGAGAAGGAGACGCAAGTCGAATGAACTCCATAGCAAGCATGAGCTAACAAGGGAGCCACGAGGGCACCACGCGGGGGGCCTGAGCTCCATCTGAGGAGCCCAGGACCCCACGGCCGTGAGGACGATAGAAGACGACCTTGGCAGGAAGCAGGAGAACTCTTGCTGGCGGCGGATGTCCTCGATTGCTTGGACATCTCTGGACGTCCCCAGAGCCCAGAGGCGCCCAGAGGTCTCAGGAGGCCAACGCAGGCACCCTACGCAGGCACCCGAAAGGCCTTCCGACCCCGACAGCAACGACGGCTCAGGAGGGCCGAGGAAGGCCTTCCCACCTCGGTGGCAACGGCGGCGCGGCGCCGCTCATGCAGCCGTCCTCGGCGTTGCCCCGGGCCTGCCCCTGGGCCCCGAGAGGCAGGCCTTCCCTGGGCATGCCCGGGCCGTCCGCGCCAGCGCCCTCGCCGTCGCCGTCACCGCCGCCGCCGTCGCCGCCGCCAACGCCGCCGCCCTCGCCCTCAACGGCGCCGTCGCCCGTCGCCGTCGGCGGCGCCGTCGGCGTCGCCGCCGTCGTCGCCGCCGTCGGCGGCGTCGCCCGTCGGCGGCGTGCAGCCTCAGCTTGTTGAGGTTCAGGTTGAAGAGCACGTGGCGCAGCACGCGGCCCTGCCTGTCGCCGGAGGGGGGGGGCGGACAGGCGGGGGAGTGCGGCGCTCGCGCGCGGGCGGCCTGCCGACGCCTCCCCGTCGGCTCCGTTGCCTGACCCCCGCCTCCCTGGCCCTCGTCCTCGCCCTCGCCCGCCCCGTGCCGCCCCTGCACTCCGCTCTCGACCTCCCCTCCCTCCACTGCCGCCCGGTCCTCCCCCACTCCCTCCTTCCCCTCCGCTGCGTTCCCCGACAGGCGACGCCCCGATCTTTGCCGTACGCGCTACCCCGGACGTCCCGACCCCTTTCCCCGGGGACCAGTTTTTCGTCCTGAGCCGTGGTCTGGCGGTCCGAAGGCCCGGCGAGGGCCCCCGGAGGTCGAACACGGTCAAAAGCCGCCCGCCCTGGTTTTTGTGCGACGCGGTCATGTCTGGGCTCCTTTCCCGACCTCCCCTCCCTCCACTCCTGCCTTGCCCTCCCCCCTTTCCTCGGGATCGGTTCACCGCCCTCGCTCTCCACCTTACTTCCCTTCCCTCCCATCCCTTTCTCCCCCGACCTCTTCCCGGTCTTCCCTGCCGGCCCTCCCTCCACCTCGGAGGAAAGCACGTGCAGTGACTCACAGAGCATCGAGTTCTTTCGGAAACAGAAGCGGCCCTTTTTTGGTCCAAGAGTTTTGACTGTACCTCCCCTCCCTCCGTCCCTCCGTTCCTTTCTTCATCGCCCCTCCGACCTTCCCTCCATTCCTGTCTCTACCTCCCCGTCCTCCCTTCACTCCAATCCTTTCTTTACCACCCCTCCCTGCCTCCCTTCCCTCCATTCCTTTCTACGCACGCCCCCCATCTATCCCTTGATTTACCGCCCCACCCTTCCCTCCCCGCAATTTCAATCTTTAGCCTCCCCCCTCCCCGTGGTTCCCGCGAGGCCTGAAGCTAGCCGTTGCTGGCCATGCAAAAGGATTGCCCTCGGGCTCCGCCCGCCACCTTGCCTCATTCTCTGCCTCCCTCTCCCCCGTTTCTGCCTGCATCCCTGCCATCTTTTCATGCCATCTTGCTTCCTCCTGTTTCCTCGTCGTCCTCCTCCTCAGTCTCCTTCTACGCATCGTCAGCATCGCCATCATCAACATCCTCAGCATCATCATCATCACCACCATCATCACCATCATCACCACCATCAGCATCACTATCATCATCATCATCATCAGCAGCAGCAGCATCATCACCATCACCATCATCATCATCATCATCATCATCATCATCATCATCATCATCATCCTCATCCTCATCCTCATCCTCATCCTCATCCTCATCATCATCATCATCATCATCATCATCATCATCATCACCATCATCATCATCATCATCATCATCGGCGTCGTCGTCGTCGCCGTTATCGAGACCGCCATCGTGGTCAGTATCGTCACCATGATCATCATTATCAGCATCAGCATCAACATCAGTATCAGCAGCATCGTCGTCATTGCCACAGTCAACAGCACTACCACCAGCATGATAACCATCATCAGCATCAGCAGCATCGCCATCGTTATCGTTGTCCTCCCCCTTGTCTCTCCCTGGTGCACGTAAGTCCACACCCCTCTCCACCGCCTTGTTCTCCACCTCTTTCCTTCACCTCATGACTTCTTACTTCGCTTTCCTTCCACCCCTTCCCCTTCCCTCACTCAGTGGCCCTCTGGCAAACCCTCGCGCCGCCGCTGTCGTCTGCTCTAACACTACCTCCGTGACCCGCTCCACGAAACCAGCCAGACCGCTCAGGGAAACAATCAAGCGAGCCCCCCTCGATGCCTCCTCCTCCTCTTTCAGCTACCCCTCTTCCCCCGCGCCTTTCTCCCCTGGTCCTCCTCCTCCATCTCCTGATCCTCCTCCTTAACCTCTTCCGCTTCCTCAACGTCCTCCTATCTGCGTTCACCTGCCTCCTCCCCTTCCAGATCCTCCTCCCCCTCCTCCTCCTCCTCCTCCTCCTCCTCCTCCTCCTCCTCCTCCTCCTCCTCCTCCTCCTCCTCCTCTCGCAGCCGCGGGCGAGGGCCTTGTTGCTACCGCGTCAGCCTTCTCAACGAAGCTGCGGATCTGCGTGAGGTCGCCGGATGACTGGGCGGAGCGGCGCAGAGGCGCGAATCGACTCAGGATGGCGACGAGGCCCGACGGAACCACCGAGCACGTAGCTGCTGTCCTCGTCGTCGTCGTCGTTGTTGCCTCTGCCCTGCAGATACAGTCAGGGGCTTGACCTAAGGAACCCAAAATAAGGAACGGGGCCCCTTTTTTCCATGAGTTAAACTTCGATTTCCCAGGAAAACAGAAGGCAAACTGCAGAACAATCAAGGAACACCGAGCCCCTCCCCAACGAAAAGGGTTTCTTCTTCAGGGCCCCGACTGTACCACCTCCCTGCCGCTCTACCAAGTACGTGTCGGGCTGGGCGGGCTGGGCGTTTCGCTGGAGGCTTCCCCACGATCTGCCGTCCTGAAGCTGGAAGCTTCTCACAGCCAGCCGCACGGATGAAGGGCGGGCCGCTTCAGAATGGGGCACTCGCCCTGGCGGCGTGCACGCTCGTCTTGCCTTGCTCCAGCACGTGCGCGGAGGAGGAGAGTCGTGTTCGCGAAGGCGCCCTCGCCTTGGCGGCGCGCGCGCGCTGGTCCTAACACCGTGCAGCAACTTCAAGGGCGGGGGGCCGGGCGGCTTCAGCACGGGGCCCTCGCCGTGGCGGCGCAACACGCTCGTCTTCACGTGTCCGCTCGCTTGCGCGGAGGGGAGGGGCACTTTTGAAACCTGCGCCCTCGCCCCGCTGCCGCGCGCGCTCGCCCCAGAGCAGCCCAGCACGCACGCGGAGGGAGGGCAGATCGTGTCCAAGCGTGGGGCTCTCGCCGCGGCGGCGCGCGTGCCCGACTTCTACCTCCTCAACCATGTACGTGGAGAGGAGAGGTCGCTGACAATGTGGTGATCTCAACCTCGCCTTGGCGCCGAGCACGCTCGTCGCCCACCAGCCCAGAACTTCCTGGGACGGAGGGCGGGGCGGCCTCCGCGTGGGCCTCTCGCCCCGGCGCCGCGCACGCTCGCCTGAGAGTTGCCAAAAGCTACCGCACGGATGGAAGGGGGCCCTTCTCAGAGTGGGGCTCTCGCCTGGCACTTCCGCACCGTGTGTTGCCACATGTACAAGCAGGCTGCTGCAACAGTTGCACGGACGGACGGCGGCTCGTTCTCTAAGTGGGCCTCTCGTTCCGGACTTCGTTCGGGTTTTGCGGCTGGACGTCTAAGTTGGCGCGAAAGTTCTACGGATGGAGGGGGGGTCCCTTAAGACGCCGAGACAGGTGGCACGCGTGCCCTGGCTCTTGCACAAAGGAGCTGGGGGAGGGCAGGGAGGCCAGGGGGGGGGGGAGGCCTGGGGCCAGGACCAGGGGGAAGGTCAGGGAGGCTGGGGGGGGAGGACGAACGACGAACGAACGAACGAACGACGAACGAAAATATGGAGGTCCGAGCTCTAGAACACAGCTGCACAAGAGAGAAACGTGGGGATGTCGCTGGTCACTTCATTGAAGGCTATGGCCCCACCTCGTCGCAGTCCGCATGAATCGAGGGATGGAGGACACTTCCTTGCAAAACGAAGGTCCCACCTTGGGGGGCGATGGGCAATGGTGGGTTCGTTCTTCAAAGAGGGCGCGTCGCGCGATGAACGCGAATTCCTGTTGTGACTTATGAGAGGGGACTTAGGACGGGAGGGTGTATTGCCGCATCGTTCATACATCTTGGGTTTACTCTGGTTCTTCTCCTCCTCCAGTCCTTGTCCTTTTCTCCCAAAGGAAAAGCGAAGCACTTAAATCTGTACCGCGGGACCGGCGCAATGCATTCCTTTTCCTTCTGAACAACTCCTCACTGTCGCACCCCGGGGCCAGTCGGAAGGGCGGGCCAGGCGTTTCGCCTAAGACTTCCTTATCATCTATCAGCTTGAAACTCAAAACTGGCAGCGAATTCACAGATGGAGGGCGGTTCGCTTCCAAAGCGAGTTGTTCGCCTTAGCGCCGCGCGCACTCGTTCTTAGCATGTGCAAGAATTTCGAGGATTGAGGGCGGCGCCTCCGCGCAAAGCGCATTCGTTTGAAACAGTTGCAGCAGGTTTCACGGATTGAGGGCGGGTCATTTTCAAAATGTGGTTTTCGCTTGAGCGCCGCGCGCATTCGCCTGAGCAAATTGCACGACCTTCGCGGATTGAGGGCGGGAGGTTTTCAAGATGTGGCTCTCGCCTCAGCGCCGCGCACATTCGCATTACAGGAAATGCAGGTGTTTAGCGGATTGAAGGCGGCTCCTTTTCAAAAAATGACTCTCGCCTGCGGGCCGTGCGCATTCGTTTCACAAATTTACACCCGTCTCACGGATTCCCAATTTTAACGCACCAGCAACAATTCGTGTGGTTCGCGGACGCCCCAGAAACGATGTCTGGCACGATTTCGGATTGTCCAAACGCGACAATCAGGTTGACTCGTGGCGTCGACATGCTGGAAATGGTGTTTGGGCACGCGTCCGGATTTTCACACGGTTGTCGCCCAACGGGGCATTTCTGTCAGTGGAAATGCAGCCTTGTAGGGGCCTACGAAGAGGGAGCTTGGAGGGAGGGTGTGTTCCAACATCGTTGATGAGTCTTGGGTTTACGCTGGTGGAGATCCTCCTGCTTGCTTCCTCGTCCCCTCCCACTTGTCGTCGTTGTTTCCTACTTCCCACCCTCCTCATCCTCAGTATCGTCGTCGTCCTCATCTCCTCATCACCATCATCAGCAGCGTCACCTTCATCCTCATCATCACCACCACCACCCCTCCTCCCCCCTCGACATTATCATTATTTCACCTGCCCTTTCAGCGCCTCCTTCGCCGACTCTCACAACCGATCCTTGTCCGCGTCCACCTCCTCGTCGTCTCCTCCCCGCCCTTCGGCTCCCCGCTCCTCTCCACCAGGCAGCGTCCTGTGGCGTTCCCATGCTGGCTGGTGTTGCCTTGCCGGCCTGACGTGTCCAACTTCAGTTCCGCTCTCCTCCTACATCCTTTCGTTTGCACCCTCGCCTCGTCCTCGCCCTCTTCTTCCTCCTCCTCCTCCTCCTCCTCCTCCTCCTCCTCCTCCTCCTCCTCCTCCTCCCCCTCTCCTCATCCTCGCCCTCATGCCTCCTCCTCCTCCTCCTTCTCCTCCTCCTTCTCCTCTTCCTCCGTCTCCCTGCCTGCCGCTAACCCTCCTTCCGCCTTCCCAATTCGCCCACCCCCCCTCGCACTCCTACTCCCCTTCGTCGCATTCCACTCCTGCCCCTCCTCGCATTCCACTCCTGCCCCTACTCCCCATTCTCCTCCCGCTCCTGCCCCTCCTCGCCCGCACGCCACCCTGCGACTTGAGCGGCTGTCCTCCTCCTCCTCCTCCTCCTCCTCCTCCTCCTCATCAGCATCCGTCTCTTCACCCTCGTCCTCCTCATCCCTCCTCCTACTCCTCGTCCCTCCTCGTCCCTCCTCCTCCTCCTCCTCCTCCTCCTCCTCCTCCTCCTCCTCCTCCTCCTCCTCCTCCTCCTCCTCCTCCTCCCCTCGTCCCGCGTCTCCGCCCCCATTCCCTGCCCCCCCTTCTCCGGGGGCGGAGGCGGCTCTTCGTGAGGCGCGGCGGTCCTGGGGAACGATGTAGACGTAGATGTCCTCGAACGGACCAGGCCAGCTGTCCTCGTTCACCTCGGCGCGCGCGCGCCACGACTCTGCTGCTGCTACTGCTCCTGCAACGTATCGTCGTCGTCGTCCTCCTCCTCCTCCTCCTCCTGCTCCTCCTCCGCTTCCTCTCTCCCCCCCACAGCGCTCATCATCCCCGTCCTTCCCCTCTTCCTCCTCCTCCTCCCCACTCCTCCCTCCCCCTCACTCCTCATGCTGCTGCTGCTCCTCCTCCTCCTCTCCCATTTTGTGGTGGCAACATTGAAGTCGTCCTCCTACGTTTCGTGCTTCCTGTTTCTGCTTCACCAATTCCCCACCCCGTGAAAGGATAACGATGACCTTGCTGATGGGTAGAAACACACGATCGGGGGCAAGACGAGGAAAAAGAGGTGGATTTGGAAAACAAGGAAGACTGGGAAGACGGGGAGGAGAAAGGACGGTGGGGAGAGGGGGAGACGCGGGGGGAGAGGGAATGACGACGAGGAGGAAGAGGGGAAGGAGAAGTGACAGTATGACTGTGTATATATATATATGTATATATGACCAATGAGGACCCATCGTCAGCCGCACGCAGCTGCGCAGTGATGAACTGCAAGCGCCGTGCAACACGTTGCAGCAGCGAAAGGGTAGCACTGTCAAAACGTGGCCAGGGTAACGTGGGTCTGGTACAGGAGCCCCTCGTCCGCGTGCACATACATACCCAGAGCGAAGGGCAGACCAATGTGGAAAGCCCAAACAGTTTGCAACCACGAAGGGCACGAAGGAACCTCTCCAGAGCTGGGGCTTGGACGCCCGAATTATCCGGGATCGCTGCGGTGTGGGGGCTACCTCCGGTTTGGGCCCCCCCCGAGGCGATGATTCGTGAGGGCTGGACGCTGGAATCATCAAGGATAACTGCGGTCCGGGGTAACTCCAGTTTGGGCCCCCCCCCGAGGCGCTGCAGCTACCCCGTGACTGCCCCCAGCCCTGATGACTCGGAGCTCTGATGGGGTTGCTCTGAACTCTCGTGGCAACCGTGTGCTGGCGCGCTCTGCCTGGCCCCCACCAACCTGGAAGCCGCCGAGCAGGCTATGCAACTTCGGGCACCGCTCTCGGCGCAGCACGCGTGCCGGCACCGAGATCTCGCTCCCTCGTGCGCCAGGCTGGCCTGGAGCAGCTCGGGCGCGAGCTCCAGCCCGAGGAGGAGGCGCGGGAGGGGGGAGGAAGGGGGCGTGGGGCAGCAAGCCAGGGCTTCTGTTTGGAGTCCCGAAACGGTGAGATGACAGACCGTGCGGTGATCTCGAAATCCCCCAGGACCTCACCGCACGGTCCGTGAACGCACGGTCTTGGGACCTCGGAGGCCCCTGTCGCCCGGGACGTCCTCGGAGAGGGACCCGAGTCCCAAAACCGCGCGGTGACCCCGAATCCCCACAGACTCACCGCACGGTGTGGTCACCGCCCCGTTTGGGGACCCCCGATTCTGAGCCACCGCGACGCGACTCTCGTCGCGCCCCCGGGGACGCGGCACGCGCGCTTCTCGTCGCGCCCCCCGCGCCCTGCACGCCGCCATCCCCCGGAGGAGCGCGGCTGCTCCGGCCCAGGCCGCGGCGGCGCGCCAGGAGAGCTCGAGGGTCCGCGCGCCCCCGCGGGGGGCCCGGGGGCTCTCCCGCGGCCCCGACGACGACGACGACGACGACGACGACGACGGCGACGGCGACGGCGACGGCGACGGCGACGACGGCGACGACGACGACGACGACGACGACGACGACGACGACGAGAACGAGGACGACGACGACGGCGACGGCGACGACGGCGACGACGACGGCGACGGCGACGGCGACGGCGACGACGGCGCCGACGACGCCGACGACGAAGGCCCTCCCCCGGGTCGGGGTCCAGAGCCTCCGAGGGCCCGGCCCGCCTCACGGGGGGGGGCCTCAGAGCCTCAGAGGGCCACGGGGCGGGGGGAACGGCCTGTCGAAACTTGTGTGCTGGGGCTTCCCCTGAATTCGAAGGCAATGTCCCGTGAGGTGTCAGCCGCAGAAGGTGTCGAGGGCCTGGAGGGAGCAACTCAGCTCATCGAGAGCATTGCCAAAGCCTGGACCGTGAGGATCGCATCGCTCCCGAGTTGCCATCACACATGTGCAGGCAGCCCTGGCAGTTGCAGCACGCAGCCCCTCGAGAAGTCCTGCGTTACAGGTCCTTCTGCAGCTGCCTGCCTCTGGGCCTGCACCGAGAAGGGTGGCGTGGGTTGCCTGAGGGTGCTCACATCTGTTCTTCCTCTCCCTCCCACGGCTCTCCTCCACGAGCCTGTCCAGCCGAGCACGTGAAGAGGGCCTTCGGTGCCGCGCTGCGCTGCCTGGCTGTGGCGGGCTGCCGCGAGCTCGGCACCGCCTCTTCCCCCCGTGGGGCCCGCGCTCCGCCCGCGGGCGCCGCCCTCTGGGCCGGCCAGGGGCGGCCGGGGCGGCCTGCGCCTTGGGGCTCGCGGGGAGTCCGCGGCGAGGCCGGAGGGCGGTCACGGTCCGGCAGCGGGCGGCCGGGCACGCCTCAGGTGGCGGGCCGCCAACCACACCGAGCGCACGGCCTGCGCTCCGGCGCACGACCCGCTCGTCAGACATCGCTGGGCGTGTGGTATCGCAGACCGAGGAGGAGGGGGAGGAGGAGGAGGAGGGGGTGGAGGAGGAGGAGGAGGAGGAGGAGGAGGAGGAAAACGAGGAGGAGGAGGAGGAGGAGGAGCACGATGAGGAGGAGCAGGAGGAGGAGGAGGAGGAGGAGGAGGAGCACGATGAGGAGGAGGAGGAGGAGGAGGAGGAGGAGGAGGCTAAGATTTCGATTGGTAGGAAGAATGGAGGGAGGGGTGGAGGATTGTGAGGAGGAAGAGAGAGTTCCACTTAGAGTAAAAGAAGCCTCATCCATCCGTGGAACTATAGTCGACTGGAAATAAGCACCGAAATAAAACACCGTGAAGAAACCAACGTCCACCAGTGTAGCTGCTGGCAGCGTTTGAGACGAGTGTGCGTGGCGCTCACGCGAGAACCAAATTCTGAACGCGTACCGCCTCCGACCGTGGAAAGTTTGGAGACGAATCTGCGCGGCACTGATCTGAGAACCCCATGTCGGTGACGATCCGTCCTCCATCCGTGCAGCGGTTGGACAGCTCGAGGACGAGAGCGAGGACGACGACGACGACGACGACGGTGGCGATGACGACGGTGGCGACGAGGGCCTCCTAGGAAACCCGAACAGGCGAAAGCGAGGGCAAGGCAGCGGTCTCGGTACCTTTCCCTCCTTGACGCGCTCGTCGGCGTGGCCCCCACGGGGGCCCCGACCCCTGCTCCCGGGTCGCTCTCGTCCGGGACCTGCTCTTTGATGGCCCCGGGGCCCGGCAGCCGCCACTCCTGCCGAGCTCGAGGAACAAACGCGTCCGTCGTCCTCGCGCGGCGCCTGCGTCGGTCGGCGCGGCGTTCGGCGCCGAGCGCACGGCGGGCTCCAGCAGGCGCTCTAGTCGTCGCCGCCGCCGCCGCCGCCGTCGTCCTCGTCTCGGCTATACGCAGGAGTGACCCTGGGTAAGAGTGACCTTGGGTGCGCGGCTTTTTGGGGGGCGCGGGGGGACCAAACCCGTGCTCGAAAACCAGCTGCTACTGCTTCGTTTTCAAACATCTGGGGACCCATCTGTGCCCGCACCAAAGGTCACTCTTGCGAAAGGTCACTCTTACGTCTAGTCGATCGTCGTCGTCGTCGTCGTCGTCGTCGTCGTCGTCGTCGTCGGCGTCGGCGTCGGCGTCGGCGTCGGCGTCGTCGTCGTCGTGAGCGTCGTCGTCGGCGTTCGTCGCACGCCGTCCTCGAGCAGCGTCGGCGCGCGTCGGCGCGGCGTTCGGCGCCGAGCAGCCGGCGGGCGCGGCGCCCCGGCGGGCGCCCTCAGAGGCGCCGCGAGGAAGACGTGGCCCTGCGCACGAGGACCGCCTCGGCCGCGCCGGGCTCGTCCCGGGGGTTGAAGGAGTCCTCAGCGGCGTCGGCGGGCAGCCGACGCTGTGCTCTGTGAGCCCAGGTCGCCGACGGTGCAGTCAACCCGTGTCAGAAGGATGCGCGGTGAGGATGCGAGGGCCTCGGAGGGCCAGGTTGACGTTTGTCGAACGAGGTCTTGGCCAGTGAAAGTCGCCAAGGACGGGCCGAATCGGGCAGGGATGCAAGGGTGCACTTTGGAAGGTTGCCCCTCCTTACTGTGCGTGTGGACTGCATGATCGTGTCAATCCCGGGCGCGTTCCCTATCGACGTCGGCCTCCGAGGGCCGTCGTCGGCCCCCTGGACCATCGAAAACGGGTCCGAGGCGAGCAACTGTCAACGTGGAAGCGGTGCAAAGAACTCTGGGTGCACCAACCGGCTGTTCCTGGGCTGGGGAGGAAAGGAGTCCTCGGCGGGCTTCCCCGGAAACGTACTCCCCCTCGTTGCGAGCAAAAACTCGACGGAAGGTCTGTGGCAATTCTCGGCCCCAGGGGGGCCTCGCTGGGCCGCGGGACCGCCAAAGAGAACGGCTCAGGGTGGAACTGCGGGCCATGGGAAGGGGTCCAGATCTCCTGGGGTCCACGCTGAAAACAACATCAAGATGTCGGGGTCCTTGGCGGCTGCGGGATGCGTGGGGGAGGGCTAGTCGAGGCACGGCAGCCACCCCTGCCGTTCTTCGCCCTTTCTGGGGGGGGGCCTCCTAGAGGCTTCTCGCCACCACAGCCAGCCGAGGATCCAACGCTTTCCCCCGCGCCCCCCCCCCCTGCCAACCCTCCTAATTGCGCCGGGTTCTCGTTGTAAATCAAGCGCTGCTGCCTCTTTCCCCTCCCGTCCCGCCTCCCTCCTCCTCTCTCCTCCTGTCTCCGACCTGCCTGCTTGGCCTGCTGCCTGCCGTGCTGCCTGCCGTCCCCTTTGGGGGCCGCGAGCTGTGAAGCCGCCGCCACCTTCGTGGGGGACAGGGGCCAAGCGCGGTGCGGTGCTGCGCGGATGAGAGTGATCCTGCGGTGCTCTCTCTCCCCAGTCTCCCCCGCGAGTCGCGCGCGACGCACGGGCCTCCCGTTCGGCTTCCACACATCGGATTCCTTGGCATGCCATCCTCCGCCACACTTTTGACCCCCTCTTGCGGCCACCTCTTGCAGATGGGTTGAGCCATCGTCGCCAGTCGCAGGCCCAGAGGTTGGCACCAACACCAAGATCGGCGGTATGCCTCCACCGAGGGAAGAAGATCCCAATTTCGGTGATGGTGGTAATATTCTGGCTTCCAAGGTGACCGAAATCTAGGATCATTCCCATTTCCAGGCCTCCAAGCCAGAGCACAATGTGTTCGGAAGCGCGGGCCTGCTCCTGCACGTCGGCGCCCGAGGGCCCGTGTCCGGGCCCCGGGGTGCACGGTCTCCCCCGGCGCCGTAGGCGACCCGAGGAGGAGGAGGAGGAGGAGGAGGAGGAGGAGGAGGAGGAGGAGGAACACACACACGCACACACACACACGCACACACACGCACACGACACACGACACACGACACACGACACACGACACACGACACACGACACACGACACACGACACACGACACACGACACACGACACACGACACACGACACACGACACACGACACACGCACGCACGCACGCACACACACACACCCATACCCATAGGGGGTCGCTGAGAGGAGGACTGGCTATGGGTATGGGTGCGGGTTGTCGGACCCTGGGGAACGCTCCCGTTCGGGCGGGGACCCCCATCCGACCACACGAGCCCATAGCCCTCTCTGACCCCCCATATGGGTATGGGTGTGTGTTGTTGGTCCGTCAAAATGGTCGGGGGTCGGAGGTTCGCCAGGAGGGAAGCGGGCCCTGAAGTGCTCTGGTCGGTTTCGGGCCCTCGTGAGGCCCTCGGAGGGGCCCCGGGGCCGTGGGAGAGCGATTCGGGATGGGGACTCCGCCCCGGGGGAAGAGGCCACAGGGTCCAGGGAGGGGGTCGGAAGTGCGCAAGGGGGGGCGACGGGGCCGTCAGTCGCAGGACCACCGCAGGGGCACGGGGCAACAGCTGCTGGCGGCTCTGGGCCACCGCCGCGGGTTTGGCGTGGAAACGCAGGGGAAAGGGGGGGAGAGAGAAGGGAACATGAAGGGGCCCCAGGACACACACACACACGCACACACGCACACACACACACATACACACACAAATACACATAAATAAAAATATCTCCCATATTTTCCAATATTTTCTGGGTTTATGTCTTCCCCCCCACTTCCCATATTTTCCCATATTTTCTGGGGAATCGAAGATTGATTGTGTCTGTGTGTGTTATTTCCTCCTGAAAACAAAGAGAGAGGCGGAGAGCAGGAGGAACGGGGCCCCGCAGAGGCAGCGGGCACGTGACGAGCGGGGGGGGGGGCGGAGGCTGATCCTCCCTCAGCAGCTCGGGCTCTGGCGGCGTGCGCGCGAGCCCATCCCCACCCGGCGCGGAGCACGGAGACCCGGAACTAAGAGGAAGCCAGGACGATGATAAAATCGGGCGAGGATGATTGAATCGGGAATCTCTGAGATCCGGCGGTTCCGGAGGATGTCTCGAGCGCCACGGCCTTCTCAGAGCGTTCTGGATCGCTCTGAAAGCGTTCCAGAACGCTCTGAAACGAACTGATCCTCGTCCTTGGGGAGATCAGAAGGTACCAACACCGCTACTCCCCGGACCTCTCCAGGGGTGCGTTCTGACCAGGACTTCGAGGCGAGTCCAGCTGCGGCGACGAGGGCCACCCAGGAGGCCCAGGAAGGAGGAATCCAGGGATGGGTAGAGGTATGGGCATACTTTTCCTCCCCCCCCGAAACCTGGCGTCTGGACTCTGCCTCCGACGCTCTCCTGACCTGCTTTCCGCTGGCGGACCCGCCGCCGGACTATACTCGTCTGCCGCATCCTCTCCGCCGAACGACCAAGCATCGAAATGCATGAAGGGTCTGATCGCAAAAAGGTATCACTCACGGCGTCCTAGGTATCCCTGCCTGGAAATCCGTCGCCGAAAAGGCATGGAAGCGCACGCCAAAGGTGGGACGCTCCCTGGAGAATGCCCCAGCCAGAAGAAAAACCGACCCATGAACAGCAACTTTTGGCGCTCCGCGCGGACTTCTGGGATCTGCGCGGGACCCCCCTCGGAACGCGCCAGGGCCGGTGCCTGAGTGAGGCGCCGTAGGGAGGGCCCAGCGCGGAACCAAGGACACTGTTTCTATTCTTTTGGGTAACGGCTGTTACTCGGGGAGGCGGGGGGTTGGACCAGCGGGTAATTGTAACGACGGCCGCGACGTGCGCCCGCCAGGGTGCGTCCACGCCATCGACACATCAATTGCCTGCGCGCGCTGCAGTCCCTGCGCACGCGACAATGCCAAATGCACTCGTGCAAGACAACGCCGCCCGAATGCACCACAATGCGTCGGTACACCACAACAACTGCGTGCACAACGCCACCACGTCGCCCACATACGCCGCAATATCTGTGCATACTGCAGCAACCGTGTGCGCAACAGCGCTTGTGTACACCACGTTCCCTGGGTGCACCAGAACGTTTGTGTAAACCGCAGCGCCTGCGTGCACCACAGCAACCATGTGCACCAAAACGCCTGCGCAAGCCACAATATTTCCGTGCACCACAACGCCTGTCTACAACAAAACGTGCCAACGGGCACATCAGTAGCTTGCTTTTTTTTGCGGGGCCCGCCACAGACCGCGGAAGCCCTCACCACTTCGCCCGTGTACACTGCCATGTTTTCTTTGTATAGTGCAACAGCCGTGTGCGCCACAGCGCCTGTGTGCACCACATTGTCTCCTCCTCTTCCTCCTCCTATGTCTGGTCCTCCTCCCCCTCCCCCTCTCCCTCCTCCTCCTCCTGGTCCTCTTCGCCTTCGTCAGCGCCAATTGTAACAGACGCGGGGTAACCGTTGCTCCACCCAGACATGGCTAAGACATCCCCTGGCAGCATTGCTTTCAGAAGTCCACCAGGCGTAAATCACACTAGTCTGCGCACTGCAATAGCCTGCAGGCGCCACAACAGACATTTTGAGCACCGAAGCTTGCCGTTTAGCACCACGCCATGCCTGTGAATTCGGCGCCGCAACAGGTGGGGAACCTGCGAACGCCACAACACGTTTGTGAGCACCACACATGCCTTTCAGCACCACGCCATGCCTATGAGCACAGCGCCATAGCTGCTGCGAAGAGGGGGGTCCGCCCTCCACCCCTCAAAAAACGTACGATCGTTAGCGTTACCCCAGGGGGGGGGGCCCGGGTAGCAAGCGTTACCTGCCAGAGAAAAAAACGCTCTCAAGAAATCCGCGCGGAACGCCAAATGTTTATGATGTGCGTAACGTTGTTTCTTCTTCGACGGGCATGCGGCATGAAGAGACGAAGTCAAACAAACGAAAAACGGGTCCTCGACCCCAGGGCCTTCCCCAGGACCAGGTTTCCTCGCCCCCTCGCCCCCCCCCCCCCGCTGTCCCTGTTTCTTCTTCTCCTCCTCCTCCGACTCCCCCATCCTCCGCCCTTCCCCTTCCTACTCCCACTTGTGTCTTCATTATCACCATTATCTTCCTCCTCTGCCTCCACCTCCTCCTCCTCCTCCTTCTCCTCCTTCTCCTCCTCCTCCTCCTCGTCCTCATCCTCCTCCGCTTCCACCCTTCTCCTCAGTTGCGCGTGTTGTTCTCCATCTTGCTCCCATTCCTCTTTCCCCATAAACTCTGCATATCCTCGTCCTCATCCTTCTCCCCCTTGTTCTGAGCCTCGTCCTGCTGGCTCTCCTCCATGGCATGTCGACGAAGGGGGAGGGAGAAGAGTCGGACGCGCAAGAGATTGAGGAGGAGGAGGGGCAGAGGAGGGTCGGAAAAAATGAGAGGAAGGCAAAATGAGGGGGGAGTAGGACGATGAAGCCGAGAAGTGGGGATGGGCAGGGAGGAGGATTACGGGAACTCCTTCATTCGTCTCCTGCGCATTCTCATAGCCTGCTCGCCCCCCTCCCCCTCGTGCCTCCCTGCCTCCGTTCGTCCCTGCGCGCATTCGTCCTTCCCTCCTTCCTCTCCCCACGCAAGCCTGCTGTGTCTTGATGTTCTTCCATACGCGGTCCCTGGAAGCTCCGACCCTTTCCCTGGGGACGGGGATGGTTTCGTCATCCCGGGTCCTGCTCTGACTGCCCTGAGGCACGGCGAGGGCACCGGGAGGCCGAGCATGGCCACAAACCTCCCGTCGTGTTATTTTTTCACGCCGCGAGGTCCTGCTCTGCCCTTTGCTAGGTAATTGGGCCCACGCGCGGCCCGCTCGGACCTCACTCGCCGTTGGCGCGCTCGCCTTCGGCTGCTGACAAAAACTATCTGGCCCCTCGCCATCGCCCCACGGCGAAGTGGGAGGAGGGGTCGAAGAGGCGAGCGCGCGCGCGCGGGGTCGGCGCGGCTTGTTCGCAGCGGATCCTGCGCCTCGTGCTCGAGCTTGAGCACCTCGGACCACTTGACCCGCCACCTGGCGGCAAGGGGGGGAGGGGGACCCTCCTCCTCCTCCTCCTCCTCCTCCTCCTCCTCCTCCTCTTCCTCCTCCTCTTCTTCCCTTCTCCTCGTTCTCCTCCTCGTTCTCCTCCTCGTTCTCCTCCTCCTCCTCCTCCTCCTCCTCCTCCTCCTCCTCCTCCTCCTCCTCCCCTCCCCCTCCTCCTCCCCGTTTTTGCCGCTTCCCTCCCCCTCTCCTCCTCCTCCTCCCTCCTCCTCCTCCTCCTCCGCCTCCCTCCTCCTCCTCCTCCTCCTCCTCCTCCTGCTCCTCCTCCTCCTCCTCCCTCCTCCTCCTCCCTTCGCCCTTCGACCCCCCGCGCGGCTGGAACTCCGGGCCCTGCGCCTCTCTGGGGCTCTCGGGCCGCGGGCGGCCGCTCGGGGCGGCTCTCCGGGGCACCCCCGGGAGCACCCTCGACGAGGCGTGGCGGCCGGTCTAAGGTTGGGCATGTCCCCCCGCAGGCGGATTTCGGACGAAAGATAAAACATGATCGAACACGTTCAAAAGTAGGAGCCAATGGTCGAACAATCGTCCCCAGAGTATTTTGTTTGATTACTTTTGGAGCTTCCTCCTGTAGGGGGCCAGGCCCAACTGAAGGCTGCTCCGAGGAGCCGCAGGTCATGATAACGATACGGCCTCGGGGCGGACGATCCGGAGGAAGCGGATCCCATACCGCTGCCCCCCACCCCTCACTTTCCCCTCCTCGGGCTTCCTGGGAGGCCCTCGTCGCCACCGCTTCGGAGCGCCTCGAAGTTCTGGTCCGAGCGCACCCTGGGAGAGGCCAGAGGAGCAGGAGGAGCAGGAGGAGCAGGAGGAGCAGGAGGAGGAGGAGGAGGAGGAGGAGGAGGAGGAGGAGGAGGAGGAGGAGGAGGAGGAGGAGGAGAACGAGGAGGAGAACGAGGAGGAGAAGGAGGAGGAGGAGGAGGAGGAGGAGGAGGAGGAGAAGGAGGGAGGCGGAGGAGGAGAAGGGGGAGGGAAGCGACAAAAACGGGGAGGAGGAGGAGGAGGAGGAGGAGGAGGAGGAGGAGGAGGGGGCTGGAGGGGTCTGGAGAGGCCAGAGGAGCAGCAGCGCCGGGTGCCTCCTGGCTTCTCCAGCGTCATGGGGGGCGGCTGGCCCAGGCCGCGGGCGCCACGCGCCGTCGCCCTGGGAGCCTCGTCGGAGAAGTGGGCGATCGGAGGCTCTGGATGCTCTCCCCTGGTTGTAGGGCAGCTTTTTAATATATGGGATTGAAAAAAATGAGGACTTTTACTCCTCCTCCTCCTCCTCTTTCATCCTCCGCTTCCTCCCCCGACTCCTAGCCCTTTCGATCAGGGTCGGCGGCACCGGCCGTCAGGCCTCTCCAATATATGGGATTTATAAAATGAGGACTTTTAATACATGACTAATTTATGAATGAATCTATGCATGAACTCATCGTTGCTCTTAATACTAAATCCCTGCATTATTGATACATGATCCGCACGCGGAGCATGTATTAAAAACGGCGCTGCATGTTGCTCCCATCGTACCCAAGGACCACCTCCCAGAAATGATCTCGAGTACCCGGAAGAGTGTCGAACAAGTGTCGACACAGTGTCGAACGAGCGTCTCCCAGGGCCCGACCCGAGAAAACCGTCAAGTTTCGGTACTTCCTTGGTGATCGATATTTGGTGATCAAGGCTAAAGTAGGTTGGAACATCATAATACCCTGGGCTTTCCGCCCCATCTTGTCGCCTTGCGGCGAGCCCGGGGGGGGGGAAATCAGACGGGCGTGCCTTCTCAGGAGGCTCGGAGTGCTTCTGGGAAGTCCCCGCCGCCTTCTAAGAAGGCCTGCTCTTTCGCAGTTCCCCCTCGCAGGCGGCCCGCCAAATTGATACGGTCGGGAACCTTTAGATAGCGTGTCGCGGCGGCGGCCCCGGCGACACGCCGTGCCCTGCGAACAGATATTGTGTTGCTCCGCTCCGCGGGGCGGGATGCTGGGAAAGGCTCGCGACGTTAATGCTTGGGGACCGGAAAATGGATAGCGTGTCGCGACCAAGCGTGGTGGGCCAGAACCGGCGCAGCGACACGCTACCCAAAAGTTCCCGACCGTCAGCGGTTTCCACGACATCATCTTGTTCCGCACGGGTTCCAAGAACGAGGGCTGCTCGATGCTCTGGAATTCCTGGAACGTGTCCTGTGCCAACCGCATCATGACATCATTCTTGCCTGGGTCCCGTGTTGCTAAATGGGGGCGATGAGCGGGGGGCGAGGAAACGTGCACATTTCGTGTCCATGTTGGGCCCTGGTATAATACATGTGCACCTGTCTTCGCCCCAAACTGCGTACAGAGCAAACGGGTACGATACCCAACAGCAACTGTTGTCCAGAACCAGCACCGGCTGGTGTTGGCCAGGCGGCCTTCTGCCTCGAATGGACAACGTCCGCGGCGACACCGACAGCGACCCCTGGCTAAAATGAGCAGGCACTGCTGTCGGTCTTCCCTGCTGTCGGTCTTCGTGCCCGCTCGTTCCCCACCCATATTGCGCTCGTGTCGAATGCCCAGACCCCAACGTCGTGACTTTTTTCGCACGTCCAGCGGGACCCCTTTCCCGGGACCGGTCTTGCATCCTGAGTCGTGTTTAGGCGGCCCCGGGACCCAGTGAAGGCCCCCGGAGGCCAAACATAGCGGAAAACCTCCCGTCGTGATTGGTGGCACGACGCGAGGGGGTCTGGGTGCATCGCCCACCCACTGCGCAACGCCCGGCCCGTTCCCGATGGATTGGCGGCGAGCGCGGGGGGGGGGGAAGTGAGAAGGAGCGGGCCTTCTCAGAAGGCTCGGGAGTCCCCCAGCCTTCTGAGAAGTTCCCTGAGCCTTCCCCGACGACACAGCAAACCCCTCAGAAGGCGCGAGGGCTTCTGAGAAGTCCCGCCGCCTTCTGAGGCGGCCTTCTCCTTCTCACTTCCCCCCCTCGCTCGCCGCCGAATGGAAGCCGCCCCCTCCGCCACAGAGGGCCCTCGCTCGACGCCGGGGGGCGAGGAGGCGCCGCGGCGACTAGTGGCGAGGCGCGCCGCCCCGAGAGGCCCCGCCGGCGGCAGCGGCCCCGGCGGCTGCGGCTGCGACGGCGGCGGCGACGGCGCAGCGCCGCCGAGGCGCCGCCGAAGGGCCGCCCCGACGGGCCGCCCCGACGGGCCGCCGAAGGGCCTCGCCGAAGGGCCTAGCCGACGGGGTCGGCGCGGACGGCGCGGCGCCGCCGAGGCGCCGCCGAGGGGCCGCCCCGAGGGGCCGCCGAGGCGGCGCCAGAAGGCCTGGCCGCGGCCGCGGCGGCACCCGGCAGCGCGGGGAGGGGGGGGGCGCCCGCCTGCGGTCCCCGCTCATCACCCAGAGCCCGGCAGACCACGCCGCCAGGAGCAGCAGGCCCACGACGTGCTCGACGTGGTCCGCGTAGGCCCTTCGGCGCCGCCGCCGCCGCGGCGAGGCCCCTCGGCGGCCCCTCGGCTGCCCCTTGACTGCCACTCGGCGGCCCCGCGGCGGTCCCGCGGCGGCCGTCGCCGTCGTCGCCGCCGCCGCCGTCGCCGCCGTCCTCGTCTTCGGCGGGGTGGAAGGGCGACGTGGGGACAGTGTGAAGGCATCAGCGATGTTGGAATAAAGCCTCCCTCCAAGCTCGCTCTCCACAGGCCCATACATCTGTATATTTTTCCTGAGAAAACTGCCTCGTTGGAAGGAAACTGTTTGAAGACCCTGAAGCATGCCAAAACATTTTTCTCGGGATTCCAACGCCACGGACCAACCTGACAGTTGCGTCTTGACGATCCAGAATCATGCCAGAACGCCATTCCTGGGACTCGAATGCCGCGAATCAAAATAAATCTTGTGCACGCTCATGAGCTTGAATCCTTCCAAAACACGATTCTGGTACGTTGACCATGGGAACCGTGGAACCCTTGCAATGATTTTCAACGAATGCGCGCGGCCCTAAGGCGAGGGCAACATTTTGAAAAGGAACAGCCACCAATTGTGAAACTCTTGTACTGTTTGAAACGACTGTGCGCGGCGCTAAGGTGAGAGCCATATTTTGAAAGCCACTCGCCCTCAATCCGTGAACTTATTGCAAATGTTTAAGACGAGTATGCGCGGCGCTAATGCGAGAACCACACGTTGAAAACCACCCACCCTCAATCCGTGGAGCTCTTGCAATGCTTTAAGACGAATGTGCGCGGCGCCGAGAGCCACATTTTGAAAACGGCCCGCCCTCCATCTGTGAAGCTGTTGCCAATGCTTAAGCCTCAGGGTCATAACTAGTGAGGACGTCTCAAGCGAAACGCCCAACCCGCCCTAAAAACTGGCCTCGGGGTGCGACAGGGAGAAATTATTTATAAGGAGAAGTCATGGTGGTGGAGGAAGGGGAAGAGGAGGAGGGGGAGGAGGAGGAGGAGGAGGAGGAGGAGGACCAGGAGGAGGAGGAGAAAGAGAAGAAGAAGGAGGAGGATGAGGAGGAAGGGGAGGAAGGTGAAGAGGAGGAGGGGGAGGATGATGATGAGGAGGTCAATGTGGAAGGAGGATGAGGGGAGGACGGGGAGTTGGAGTTGGAGGAGGTGGAGGAGGAGGAGGAGGAGCAGGAAGAGGAGGAGGAGGAGGAGGAGGAGGAGGAGGAGGAGAGGCAGAGGTGCAATGCGATGAGAAAGATGACACGGACGAGAAAGATTTGGGCGGGAAAAATGGGTTGGGGGCGGAGAGAGGAGCATGCTGAGCAATACGAAGACGACCAGGAAGAGCGGGGGCTAGGACGCGTCCTCCATTCTGGATGAAGTCTGGCAATCCTGTAGGTGAGGAGTGCCAGCACAGCGCACATGAACAGGGTCAGGATCCGCTGGCCCTTCGGGGTCATCAGGCGCGTGGGGCAGTGCCCCCCCACTCGGCGTGTTCGCGCCCACTGGCGACCCTGAGGTTCGCAGAACGCCCCTGAATTTCAGCAACACCATCGGGGACTCAACCACTTGTCGTGGAGCATCTGCTGGCACGCTGGTCTCTTTGGCGCGCCTGTAGAACCGGAGTGAGTGAACATTGAGGAAGTGGTAGATAATGCGAATACGAATACTAATGATGCTGATGCTGGTGATGATGACGCTGATACTTTCGTTGATGGTGATTATGATCTGGGTGATGATGCTAATGACCATGATGCAACTGATGAGATTGATGATGATGATGACGATTATGATGATGATGTTGATGATGATGATCATGTTGATTATGATGCTGCTGATGATGATGATGATGATGCGGCTGTTGATGCTGATGCTGATGATGCTGATGATGGTGATGATCTTGATGGTGATAATGATGCAGATGATGAGTATGATGAAGATGATGATAAGGAGAAAAGGTGTAACAGGAGGAGCATAAGGTGGGAGGGTGAGACAGAGAGAGAGAGAGAGGAAGAGGGAGAGAGAAAAAGAGCGAGAGAGAGAGAGAGAACAAGAAATCGTGAAGGAGGAATGACACTATGCGTGTTTTTCGGCCACAGCAGCAACGACAACGATGTCCTCGATCCATGCCCACATGCAGAGCAACCTTGTGCCGCAACGTTATACGGATCATAGCATGGCGGCCTAAAAACCGAATGCGCCAACGCGTATGCACAAGATTCGACAACAGACCGTGACACGAGGAGGCATGGGAGACAGAACGACACGAACCAGTGGAGCGAAGGCCAAGAAGCCCAAATGCACCCACAGGGCGAAGCGAACCGAAGCGACTGCCGGGGTCGTGCGCGCTCCGCGAGGGGGCCCGCCCGTGCCCATGAGGGCATGGCGCGGAGGCCGTGGCCTCAGAACTCGAGGCTGCGGCTATGCAGCCGCCCCGCCGCCGCCCCGTCGCTGCCCGTCGTCGGGGCCCGGGTGGCGGTCTGCCGGCTACTTTGTCGCCGTCGCCGCCCCGTCGCCTTGGTCTGGGCTTGGGTGGTGGTCCGGCGGCTGTTTCGCCGCCGTCGCCGCCGCGTCGCCGCCCACATAGGTTCTCCTCTCTAGGACGGAGTTCGGGTCCACCACCCTCCCGAGGCCGGGCTTGTCCGCCCCCTGGAGATGTGCCATTTACACATCTCTCCCATCGTTCATTCGACGTATGAGCCAACATGATCTCAGCCAAGCTGGTATCGACCCCCCACCTTCAACCCTTGCGAGCATTTTTCATAATCCAAGACATTCTGTTCAAGAATATCTTGCAACAGACGGGACACAGTGCACACGCGCGCGTCGTCGTGCGCGGGCATGCAGAACTAGTCAGCAAAAATTAGTTTGCGCAAGGACTTCGATATCGAATGCCCCGAAAACATATGAAGGCTCGGCAACTGGAATTTTCAAAAAAGCCTGCGCTCGCGCTCTTGCAATGTTGTACCCCGAAACCATTAATTTTTCAAGATGTTCATCACATGCGACCAAACGTACCCCTCGCACGCGCATGTCAAAGTCATTCGAGCGCCCTTGCGCGCGTGCTGTCGCAAGAGTCCCTGTTGCAAAAAAGGGACGAAATACACACGCGCGCGTCGTCGTGCGCGCATGTCGCAATCGATTGCACCGTCGAGCGCCCCGAAAACATACGAACAACCACTGCTTCCGCAACAGGATGTCTGAAAAGAGCCTGCGCTCGCGCTCTTGCGATTTCCTGAAACATGTTCTTCACATGGAACCGGCGTGCTTGAAAAAACATGCGCGCGCGGCCGACGCGCGCGAGTGGCCCGCACGGTGCGATTTGAGAGGGATCGTGCTCATCCCCAGAACGCGCGCAAGGGCGTTCGAATGATTTCGACATGCGCGCGCGAGAGGCCCGTCTAGTCGCATGTGATAAACACGTTGAAAAGAAAAAAAAGAAATAACAAAAAAAAACGGTGGCTTCCTGTAGAAATCGCAAGATCGCGCGCGTAGGCTTTTTGTTTATACAAGTCTGTGTTGAAAAAACATTGTTCTTTTTAGTTTTCGAAGCACTCGATGTTAAAGTCCTTGCGGAACTTCAAGATGTTGAAGACTTGCGGCGTGCATGCGCGACGACGCGCGCGCGTGCACTTCGCCCAGTATTTTCGCAAAGGACTACTGCGACAACACACGTTTAAGGGCGTTCGAATGATTGCGACATGTGTGAGCGAGATGCACACTTGGTATATGTTGATAAGATGTTGAAAAACCGATGGCTTTTTTTCAAGAATTCGCAAAAGCGCGAGCGCAGTCTTTTTGAACAAGCCGGTTGCGAAGCCAGATGTGCTTTATATGTTTTCGGGACACTCGATTATGACATCCTCACGACACCTGAGGTTTTGAAGAATTTCGGCACGCGCGCGCGACGACGCGCGCGTGCGCACTCCGTCCCATCTGTTGCAAACTACTATTAACAAAAACTGATGTTTTTTGTTAAGCGGGTGTGCGCGCATAGTGTATTTTGCATCGGATGGGGGGGCGATAAGGGACTGCCTGGGATAATCGGAGTTCTATTCAGGATGGACGGGTGTGCAGATGCGGATGCGAAAGAAAACATGCGAAAAGGTGAAGCGTTAAGTCTGCGGGGTGGGAGAGGGGGAGATCTAAATATTCTGGTGGAAAGGAAAACCTAGGTGGCGCAAAGCAGTGCCAAGCAATGCAACGCACTGCGACTTCAAAGCAATGCAGCTGTGATGCAACGCAAGCAACGCAAAGAGATACGAAGCGATGCGAGGCAACGCACAGCAATGCGAAGCGACGAGGCGGCGACGCGGCGGCGACGGTGACAACGGAAAAGCTAGACCGCCACGCAGGCCCAGCACCAGAAAGGCCCAGACGACGGGCAGCGACGAGGCGGCGACGGGGCGGCGACGGCGGCCACGGAGCCGCCAGTCCGTCAAGCAGGTCCAGGAGTGCGAGCAATGTTTGGTGAGTCATGCAAAGCATACGTGTGCATACCTATCTGTACAAAAGCATACTCATCAAGACATACGTATCCATCTGATTTTTTGGGTGCGTGTGACCAGAAAACGCAATGCAATGGCCGTGATGCTAGACCACTGGCCCAAAGCGCTCTGCCAGCATGCAAGGCTGGAGCGGGGCCCAGCGCGAGCTGGACCCGGCGCGCGGGGGGGGGGCGCCTAGAAGCACACACAGCTTGAGACACTTGGCCGTGCACGGTTAGAAATGGCGAGTGTCACGGGGACAGCTGCAGAAGGAGCGCGATGATGATGACGATGGAACTAAGGATGATGACAATGATGACGACGATGACGATGCTGAAGATGCAGATGAAGATGGTAATGGGTAATGAAGATGAGTAGTATTATGAAGATGATTGTGATGAAGATGAATATTCATCAGATGAAGATGGAGATAAATTGGACAACGATGGTGATGGTGATGATGATACTGATGCTGACGACGATGAGGATGAGCATGACGATGAGGATGGAGATGAGGATGAGGATGAGGATGAGGACGAGGATAGGGATGATTATGCTGCTGCCGATGATGATGATGATGATGATGATGATGATGATGATGATGATGATGATGATGATGGTGGTGATGATGACGATGACGATGATGATGTCAGTGGTTGGGATGATCGTGATTGTCATGCGCTTCTCGCAAAGTGCGTGCAAATAAACAAGAAAGTATCAGGTACCAGAGACAGCAGGCATCGTCGAGAAGCCAGTGCGATTGCAAGACACGGATGATGAGGAGGATACGCGCTAAAATCCGCAACATGACCGAATCCGCCAGCCAAGCGGGCCAAAGGCGTGCCGGACTCGTCGGCACAAGACCAAGACTATTTGAATAGTTCGGGGATGGACAGGCCTCCCTTTAGTAAAACGTGGTTTAGTGAAAACGACTTCGGGCCCAAACCTGGCGGGCGCAAGCCTGGAAAATAACGGCCGCGGCGCCCTCTCGAGAACCGAAAACGGACAATTCACTGATCGACGTGTCAGGGTAGCAGGTCTATCCACCTCCGACGCGCGCGCGGGGCGGCTCCTGGGCCCCCCCGGAGGAAAAACCTCCCCGACACCCCGGGCCAAAGCTGCTGCAACTACTGGGCGCGCGCGTCTGGACTCCTACGCCGGCCCTGGGAGCCCCTCATGGGAGCAGCTGCGAGGGCTCCGAGCCCGGCCTCGCCATCGTTGGGACTTCCATTTCCTGTGTTTTTTTATCGGTTTCGTGCGTGGTTTTTTTGCCAAATGATCAAGGATGCTCCTCGATGGCCCTCGCCGAAGGAAAAATGCACACGTCCGAGCGATGCCAAGAGCCCAAGAGCGCTCCGAGACCGCCCAAGATGATCTCAAACCGGCCCAGGATGGCATCAGAACTGCCCAACATTCCCGAACACGACCCTCGAGGGCCCCCTAGAGGGCCCGAAGACGAACACCATCATTGATTTATGATCGCCTCTGACAGATTTTAGCGTTCTCGATTTTCTGGGCTTCCGGCGGCCCAGGACGGTCCAAGAGGCCGCAAGGCTGGCCCAGAGGCAACCAGAAGAGCCCCAGGACGGCCCAAGATGGCCCCAACACGGTCCAAGAGGCCCCCAAGACGGTACAGGAGGCCCCCAGGAGGGCTTCCACGCCTGCTAGCAGGCCCCCGAGAGCCCCCCAGAAGCCTGCAAGCGGCCCCAAGAAGCCCCAAAAGACCGCCGAGCAGCCCCCAAGAGGCCGCCGAAGGCCACGGAGAGGCCCCCTCGGGCCCCAGGAAGCCCCCTCGAGGCTGTCAACAAGCCGCCAAGAGGCCCCGAGAGGTATCCCAAGAGAAACCGCGAGGCAGCAAAGACACCTCTGACCCACGACCCAGGCACGGTGCGGAAATGCACGGACGGAGCCTCGGTGGGGTTCTGCTCCGCTGAGTGTTGCACTGCAGCTGGCCCGCCACTGTCTTTCCCCCA